AAACGCCTGATTACAATGGCTGTAATTGGTGCGGAAGAGAGTGACGACAATAAGACTCTCGTATACGTTAAAGGACATGAAAAACGCGAATGGCTGACCGATGTACTCGATAGTGACAACTTGACCATTGAGACTTTGAATGCTGATTACAAAGATATAGATTCTTTACATAATCTAAATGTTACCAATACTATGCGATGTGGAAAACATAAGAAGAATTGTGCGTTACAAAATGTATTTAAAATACATAACTGGTGGTCACAACGCCAAAAAAAATGTATCAAGTTTAAAGAATAAAATATGAGATTTTTTTTTAAATACGTTTTAGACTTCTCTTTACCTTTCCCTTTCTTTGTAATATATAAACGTATGTAAAAACGTATGTATTAACGTACGTATAAACGTATGTATGAACGTATGTATAAACGTTTGTATGTATAAACGTATGTATAAACGTATGTATAAACGTATGTATGTATGTATAAACGTATGTACGTATAAACGTATGTACGTATAAACGTATGTATAAGCGTATGTATAAATGTATGTATAAGCGTATGTATAAACGTATGTATAAACGTATGTATAAACGTATGTATGTATAAACTCATGACAAAGAAAATACATAGAATGATATGATAAAACGTGTTGTGACATGTTTGAAATTCTTGGAAAGAGGGGGACGACCGTCTCCCTCTTCGATTTTGGAAGTATTACGATATACGAATTATCGCAATTTATGAGGATGTGATCAGTTTTACGATACCCGCTTGTACAAACGGTTGAAAATGTACTTCGCCAAAGAGAGCAGCGCATCGATCGACGTGAAGAAGGAACATAACATGTAAGTTTCAACGTTTTTTATATAATAAATAATGTTTTATATACAATAAATAACATTTTTTCAATATTATGTATATACACAGTATGGAGCATCGCGCGGTGCGCTTACTGAGCAGACGTTACGACCTGACGAGTACTGGCTATAAGTATTTGGAATTTGATGGATGTATCGATGTAACGTTTGAACGATTAGTCCGATTCGTCGATACGGTCGATGCCAAATATACGCGATTCTCCAATATCGGGTCCAAGAACGCGATAGCGACATCTTCAATGGACAGCTCGTTGATTATGAACTATTAGCTTTAGTTTTTTAATACGTACGAAAAATCGGTGTAATAAGATGTGAATAAAAATAAATTCGTTCGCATCACTATATATGTATATGTACTTTATTTTACTACCCATCCGTCATATCCTTTGGCCTAGTAAAAGAAAAAGAAAAGAACAGCGTATTGTGAAAACTAAGATGTAAAAAGACAAAAGAAAAAACAGGTTCTCGTACTTTTATGGGCGGGTAGCGGCGGCCCACGGCGGCAGCGGCGGCGGCGGCCCGCAATGCATTTTTGGGGTGGTCGCGGGGTCGCAGCGCAGCGACCTTCTCCGCGCTCTAGCTACATAGAGTTAAAACTGGCCTACTCTATACCTACTCTCAATAATTATGAAACTTGGTTGTATTTAGGTATTTAAAATAATTAATAAATATTGTTTCTATAGAAAAATTACATTACGCTATATCTTGGTCGAAAAACGGTTGGAGCATAAACCCTTTGTAACACTTTTCGTTCTATAACTGTTTGTTTTTTGTATTGTTTTTTGTTCACGGCAATACTCCCTTTTTTTTGTGATGTTTTTTTTGTTGTCTTGTACGTGACTGCAGTCCCCAAAATCGTACTGCCATTAGGCATGACGTCATATCCCACCACCGAAGAATCCCCGCGCTACGCTTCCCTTCGCCTACGAGTACCCCGCGCTCCCCTCTAGCTCCGAGGGTTAGAACCGGCCTAGTATATCTACTGTTTATACATACGTTTATACATACATACGTTCATACGTGTATTACAAAGGAAGGGAAGGGAAGGGAAAAGAAATTTAAAACTTATTAAAAAAAAAATCTCATATTTTATTTTAAAACTTGATACATTTTTTTAGCTTTGCGACCACCAGTTGTATATTTTAAATACACTTTGTAACGCAATTGTTAATACATATGTTTTACACATCGCATAGCATTGTTAACGTCTAGATTATGTAAAGAATCCATATCTTTCTAATCAGCATCCAAAGTCTCAATGGTCAAGTTGTCGCTATCGAGTACATCGGTCAGCTATTCGCGTTTTTCATGTTCTTTAACGTATACGAGAGTCATCACTCTCTTCCGCACCAATTACAGCCATTGTAATCATGCGTTTCACCATGTTGTTGGATCATCCCGTCTTCCCATTGCAATCCATGGTGATAAGCACTCAGCCAGGAAACGCAATACTTTTCTGATTTTGTCAAGAAACTCCATGGTATGGGACATTTAAAAATATAATGAGGGAGAATAGCTCCTCTTCTTAATACCGCCACTTCCTTCATGACAAATTTCTTTCCAATGATAAATCCTTGCAAATTCACAAACGTTGGCATAATCATGGTGAACGACATTTCGAAACTGTGCTCGATCGATTTCGATGAATCTTGGTTTTTATCTCTTGTGTTAAAAAGAGGAGGAGGTTTAAAAAAGGAATATACTTTTAATGAACATTTATTTTTTCATGTAATGCAGCATGTACAATATAATCTAACCCAAAGATTGTTAGTTCACATACTATGGCAGAATTTTTAACATAAATTCTGTACAAAATGTTTACAGCATCGCGTTTATTTGTAATACAATTTTTCTTAAAAATGATACAAAATATTTGAACTTTTTACTATGCGTATATTGACTCAGTTCATAGAATACATGCTCGACACATTGCTTAAGGTCAAATAAGAAGAGTATAATTGTTGGTTTCATTTACAAACATGTACCATATAATGCTAATTTTATGTTATTCGTATTATCTGTTTTAACGTTGATAAGTCACAAATTAATAAAAAAAAATAATAAGTTTTTACAGACTCCTTTAATTAGAACAATTAATAAAATCATGAAATATGTAATACAGGCAACAGGAGTCGCACAGGTCTACATGGGTTTTTTTTTTATATGAGATTGGTTTCCGATGTATTTTTGTACGCTGAAAA